AATGAGCTAAGATAAGACGGGGATTTGCTTAGCAGTGATTTATAGATGACCTGGAGCCAGTGGGTTTGGCGACGATTATGTAGTGAGGGCCAGCCAACGAGAGCATACAGGTCACAATGGTGCATTCCCTGATTGTGATTCTAAGAAATGCATCCAAATTTTGTGCCTTTAACTGCAATTTGACAGATGTCATGCACGACAGGCAAAGTAGAACTGAATGGACAGTGGTAGAGAAACTGGTAATGAAAAATATGGGATGGCATTGTCTTCACTTTTCCACAGTGTCCCCATCACTGTGTTCGTGGCTCTCTCAGGGACAGCAAGCAGTGGCTGTAGAGCGCACCGATGCCACAGATTGTCTAATTAGATTAAGGAAGAAGCTTTCCTGAGATAATCATTGAGCGAGCCTTTTCCCTCTAATGAAGCCTGCGTTGGTTGAGTGTGTGCGCTGAAGGGCAAACCTTAATTTTCAAAGGAAGAATTGCAATTTGGACATAACCCTGAGAAGGGTAACTATCTGAATACCCTAGAGAAGTACTGGTACTTTGGGGATTGGTACTTTGGGGATTATGGGGGTATTTCTGGAGTTCTGTGAAAGACACTGCCTTCCCTAACCGGACGTGTGGTATTACCGGCATATACCTCCTGTTGCTATGAGGATAGGAAAATGGGGATTTCTAGTAAGTACACTCAATCTTTTGGTCAATGCAGAAACAATCTCTAAAATCAATAGTAAGTGTCAATATTAAATGTTGTACAAAAATGTGTCATGTCTCTTTAATAATGCTCGAGCTGATTCTATCTGCTACCATTGTAAGGTATCATCCAGGGTCACTTGTTAGCCGTGCTTGCATGGTGTCATTCCTTGATGGGTTTATACAGTGGCTTGCGAAAGTATTCACCCCCCTTGGCATTTTTCATATTTTGTTGCCTTACAACCTGTAATTAAAATTGACTTTTTGGCGGTTTGTATCATTTGATTTACACAACATGCCTACCACTTTGAAGATGCAAAATATTATTTATTGTAAAACAAAACAAGAAATAAGACAAAAAAAACAGAACACTTGAGCGTGCATAACTATTCACCCCCCCAAAGGCAAAACTTTGTAGAGCCACCTTTTGCAGCAATTACAGCTGCAAGTCTCTTGGGGTATGTCTCTATAAGTCCCCTGTAGCTCAGTTGGTAGAGCATGGCGCTTGCAATGCCAGGGTTGTGGGTTCGCTTCCCACGGGGGGCCAGTATGAAAATGTATGCTCTGGATAAGAGTGTCTGCTAAACGACTAAAATGTAAATGTATAAGCTTGGCACATCTAGCCACTGAGATTTCTGCCCATTCTTCAAGGCAAAACTGCTCCAGCTCCTTCAAGTTGGATGGGTTCCACTGGTGTACAGCAATCTTTAAGTCATACCACAGATTCTCAAATGGATTGAGGTCTGGGCTTTGACTAGGCCATTCTAAGACATTTAAATGTTTCCCCTTAAACCACTCGAGTGTTGCTTTAGCAGTATGCTTAGGGCCATTGTCCTGCTGGAAGGTGAACCTCCGTCCCAGTCTCAAATCTCTGGAAGACTGAAACAGGTTTCCCTCAAGAATTTCCCTGTATTTAGCACCATCCATCAATCCTTCAATTTTGACCAGTTTCCCAGTCCCTGCTGATGAAAAACATCCCTACAGCATGATGCTGCCACCACCATGCTTCACTGTGGGGATGGTGTTCTCGGGGTGATGAAAGGTGTTGGGTTTGTGCCAGACATAGCGTTTTCCTTGATGGCCAAAAAGCTCAATTTTAGTCTCATCTGACCAGATTACCTTCTTCCATATGTTTGAGGAGTCTCCCACATGCCTTTTGGCGAACACCAAATGTGTTTGCTTATTTTTTTCTTTAAGCAATGGCTTTTTTCTGGCCACTCTTCCGTAAAGCCCAGCTCTGTGGAGTGTACGGCTTAAAGTGGTCCTATGGACAGATACTCCAATCTCCGCTGTGGAGCTTTGCAGCCCGTTCAGGGTTATCTTTGGTCTCTTTGTTGCCTCTGATTAATGCCCTCCTTGCCTGGTCCGTGAGTTTTGGTGGGCGGCCCTCTCTTGGCAGGTTTGTTGTGGTGCCATATTCTTTCCATTTTTTAATAATGGATTTAATGGTGCGCCGTGGGATGTTCAAAGTTTCGAATATTTTTTTTATAACCCAACCCTTATCTGTACTTCTCCACAACTTTGTCCCTGACCTGTTTGGAGAGCTCCTTGGTCTTCATGGTGCCGCTTGCTTGGTGGTGCCCCTTGCTTAGTGGTGTTGCAGACTCTGGGGCCTTTCAGAACAGGTGTATGTATACTGAGATCATGTGACAGATCATGTGACACTTAGATTGCACACATGTGTACTTTATTTAACTAATTATGTGACTTCTGAAGGTAATTGGTTGCACCAGATTTTATTTAGGGGCTTCATAGCAAAGGGCGTGAATACATAAGCACGCACCACTTTTCGGTTATTTATTTTTTTGTATTTTTTTTTCATTTCACTTCACCAATTTGGACTATTTTGTGTATGTCCATTACATGAAATCCAAATAAAAATCCATTTAAATTACAGGTTGTAATGCAACAAAATAGGAAAAACGCCAAGGGGGATGAATACTTTTTCAAGGCACTGTAATGTCTGGTGTTTGAGTTGGGGCCTGCTAATCTTGTCTCCCTCCATCACAGACACTGTCTGATCAGCCCTAATTACAAGACTTTCTCGACCACTGAATCGACTCCAAGGATCGATGTCTTCAGGCTTCACAGTTTTCACTGCAAGGCACAGCCATCGTGCTGGCAATTAGTTGCACCCTGTGTGTTATTATTAGCCGTACTAGGCTTAGATGTGTCAGTAAGGATGAGCAGATAGGACCTCAACATCTTTTAGGTCCTTTTTCCAGAGTTTCTCTACAAATTTCAAGGGATTTTTCAAGTCAGGTACACTTTGCCCAAAGCTGATCATTTCAGGGCCAACTTATCAGTTTTATGTAACTGAACTAATTTGTGCCTTTCATGTCTTAAATGGACTTGGCATATATTCCCTTCGCAGGGCCTCGTGTTTAAAGCCGGCTGTCACTTTGTGTACAGGCCAGTGGGTGTGAGTGTCAGACATGATCGCCCCTAACAGAACTCTCAATTCAAGTTGATTGAGTCAAAAATGATTGATTGACTGAGATGGGATGTCTAGAGCTATAACAGAGACAACAAAAATGTCCTCATCATTTCAGGAGAAGGGGAATGATTTGATTGTATTGCAGTTCACAGCATTGGCCTGGACTAAAAATATAAATTTGGGTAACAGTCTGAAAACAATGGTAATGTCTTTGTAGAATTCTGGGTGAATTCTTCCTCAAATAGCTTTTCTATACAGAGGCTGTGCAGAAGCTTGGCATAAACATTGCTAAACATCTCCATATCCTTTAAAATATGTGTGTTTCATTAGGCAGATTCCATCTTTTGCTGATAGGTCCCGTGTGGCTCAGTTGGTACACTCTAAAAAGAAAAGGTTCTTGTAGTATCCTTTAGGGGTGCTTCAAATTGAAACTGTGGGGGAACCCCTATAAGTTATTCGAAGAACCCTTTAAAAGGGTTCTTAAAAGAACCCCTTTTAATGGATCCTAAAATAAACTTTTGAATAACCTTTTGGGGTACATTTTTGAACTACCCCCCCCTATTATTATTATTATTATTAGTATTAATAATACGCATCAAATAACACAATATTTTAGTTCTCAGTGTTTATTAAGATTTTAGTGGCAAGCAGAATAAAAAAAATCAAAATATGAGGTAAACTCCCAGCAGAGCCCCAAGTCCAATGGGTTTATCCTCTGGCATGTTGATGTAAATGGGTTGATGTTCTCCATAGCCAGAATGATTCTGCAGTGCATGGTGATTGAGCAGGTTTCCTGTTATATTCATCAGAGGTGTAGGGGGAAATTTTTTAGTTATACAGATGATTAACAGAACATGCACACAACAGAATTCATACCTTGGTCTTTGTGGTGAATGTGAATGAAAAAACCTGTTTTGATAATGGTTTTCATACGCATACCTTGTCCATAATGTTGAGGCCTATGGGATATTCATTGAAGAGGTAAGGGAGGAAGATGGTAAATGTGATCTGCATAACATACCAATACAAATTGACATACCTTTGTATGCCTCCTCGTCTGTGTACCTACAGACACAAAAGTGAGCAGTTCAGTCATCTGCAGGCAATAGAGCTAGCCTTCAACATATTCTTATAGCCTCCACATTCTTACCTCTTTGTTGATTGATTGTCCATTATCTGTTTTAGAAAGATTTGAACAAATATGAAAAGATAGATGGTATCATCATAAAACAATATAAATGTAGATCATACAAGGGACAAACCTTAAATTGAGGAGATCTTTACATTTAAAGTTTAGTGCCTGCACCTGCTGTTCTTTCAAATCTAAACATTTCAGTTGGGCAGTTAGGTTCCTGCAAGAACCCCCACCAACTAAGGAGGTTCCTCGAGGAACCCCACCTCCTATGGGGTTCTTGGAAGAACCTTTTGGGGGCCATTTTCAGTGCCAAGAACCCTAAGGTTCTTCAAAGAACTTTGAGGATCTTAGATGAACCCTTGTTGAACCCCTAATTTTTGTGTAGGGCATGGCACTTACAATGCCAGGGTTGTAGGTTTGATTCCCACGGGGGACCAGTACGAACAAATATGAAGATGTAAGTCGCTCTGGATAAAAGTGTCTGCTAAATGACTGAAATGTAAATGTAATGTAAAATGTTTGGTACAAATGTATTGATTAGTAATAGGCAATTATATCAACAGGAGTATCAGTGTACCTAAATGATTTGGGGTTCAATGTAATTCTTTATTGGTGTGGCATTACTGGATAGCATTTCGGCCATATGCGGGATCCAGTTCCTTATGTCAACATGAATGACTTTAGAAGTAAAAAAGGAAAAACCTTTACGCAATGTTTTTTTTTGTCTTTTCAGATGAAGCCTTGTGAGGACTTAAGCCAACATCTACAGCCAAGATGAGAGAGTGGGCTTACAGGAATCAAATGAAAATGGCTTTCTACGTGTCCAAGTCATGCTCTATGGAGTCAAGCAACGTACACCCCTGAGAAATATCAGCAGTTTATGGGAAATACCGGATTTTGCCTCTGAGGATTTTACTTGCCTTTTTGGGAAAGCCTCTCTCCACCACCCTTGAGTTGTGCGCTGTAGAGGAGACATGGCCAGCAACTCGTTCCGTGGGTCAAAGCGTGGTCGACATGCACAGGCCAATCATGATGTTGGAGATTTCAACTGCTCGCTCAAGGAGCTGCGGTCCCTCATGGAACTCAGGGGACCTGAGGGAATAGCTAGAATCCAGGAATGTTACGGAGATGTCGAAGGACTCTGTACCAGACTAAGAACATCACCTATTTATGGTAAATATGCTGCTGAGCATCTTGCTTTGTGTTTTTTGTTTTGTTTTGTATGTCTGGTGCCTGACACACTAATTCTGCTATTACTCATCGGGGCTAGGCTTAACTACAATCAGCCTTTTGGGGGCCATAAGCCTTTTGGGGGCCCTAAGCGAGATTTGGTTGGGTCCCCCTTTCCTGCAATTCTACACATTTTGCCTTGACTTATGCCATGTTCATACGATATCTGGACGACTAACAAAATCAATGTGGGCCCCCTGGAGATCGGGGGCCCCCTGGAGGTCAGGGCCCCTGGGCATGTGCCCTTCGTTCAGCCATGAAGGTTTTGATAGATGGCTGGACTAACTTACCTAGCAATCTTATAAAATGTTAGCTGACATGCGCTAATTGAGTGACTGTCAGTAAATGACACAAGAGAAAAACTGCTGATACACTACCAAATTTCGAAATTGCACGTTGTGTATTCTACTATGCTATCTCTCAACAGTAAGTCGAGACCCCGACTGAGTTCCTGGAATATATATATATATTTTTTTTATAGAACAATTCTATATAGCATCTACAACTGCAATGCAGAATGATTCTAGATACTGATTGATTCTATTGGAGTTGTCATGAGTTGCTCCTCCTACACCAATCTCAAGACATGCATGCTTTTTAGTACAAAGGCTTGAGTTTATTGAGGGGAACTGGTGTGGGCTACGGTTTGGGCTTTAAGTGGAAGGCACTGCAGGGCCCGGCTGTCACTTTTCTACACATGGGGATAACTCACAACTTTCACACAGCACCGATGACAGCTGTGAGTTTTTCTGAGGAAGTCTCTAAGAGCTTTCTCCACCTGGATTGTGCTCATTTGCCCATTTTTTCTTTTCAAAATTCTTCAAGCTCTTTCAATTTTTTTACATTATTTTTAGCAGACACTCTTATCCAGAGCGACTTACAGTTAGTGAGTGCATACATTTTTTCATACTGGCCCCTCGTGGGAAACGAACCCACAACCCTGACGTTGCAAGCGCCATGCTCTACCAACTGAGCTACACAGGGCCAAATTGGTTGTTGATCATTGTTAGACAAATATCTACAGGTCTTGCCATAGATTTTCTAGTAATTTTAAGTCAAAACTGTAACTTGGCCACTCAGGAACATTCACTGTCTTCTTGGTAAGAAACTCCAGTGTAGATTTGGCCTTGCGTTTTAGGTTAATGTCCTGCTGAAAGGTTAATTAATCTCCCAGTGTCTTGTGGAAAGCAGACTGAACCAGGTTCTGCTCTAGAATGTTGCCTGTGCTTAGCTGCATTCCATTTCGTTTTTATCCTGAAAAACTTTCCAGCCCTTAACGATTACAAGCATACCCATAACATGATGCAGCCACCACTTGAAAATATGGAGAGTGGTATTCAGTAATGTGTTGTATTTGATTTGCCCCAAACACAACACTTTGTATTGAGGAAAAAAAGTTAATTGCTTTGCAAATTTTTTTGCAGTATTACTTTAGTGCCTTGTTGCAAATAGTGTGCATGTTTTGGAATATGTTTTATTCTTTACAAGCTTCCTTCTTTTCAACCTGTCAATTAAGTTAGTATTGTGGCGCAACTACAATGTTGTTGATCAATCATCAGTTTTCTCCTACCACAGCCATTAAACTCTGTAAAAAATTTTAAGTCACCATTGGCCTCATTGTGAAATCCCTGAGCGATTTCCTTCCTCTGCGGCAACTGAGTTAGGAAGAACACCTGTATCTTTGTAGTGACTGGGTGTATTGATACACCATCCAAAGTGTAATTAATAACGTCACCATGATCAAAGGGATATTCAATGTCTGCTTTTTTTGTTTTTACCCACCTACCAATAGGTGCCCTTCTTTGTGAGGCATTGAAAACCTCCCTGGTCTTTGAGGTTGAATCTCTGTTTGAAATTCACTGCTCGACAGAGGGACCTTACAGATAATCGTATGTGTGAGGTACAGAGATGAAGTGGTCATTCTAAAATTATTATTGCACATAGAGTGAGTCCATGCAACTTATTATGTGACTTATTTAGCAAAGTTTTACTCCTGAACTTATTTGGGCTTGCCATAACAAAGGGGTTGAATACTTATTGACTCAAGACATTTCAGCTTTTCATTTTTAGTTAATTGGTAAACATTTAGAAAAACATAATTCCACTTTGACATTATGGGGTATTGTGTGTAGGCCAGTGATCAAAAATCTCAAGTTCATCCATTTTAAATTCAGGTTGTAACACAACAAAATGTGGGAACAGTCGAGGGGTGTGAATACTTTCTAAAGGCGCTGTACATACTATTAATACATTCATTTGTAAACATTTATAAGCATTACAAATCATTTTTTATAATTCATAAATATGCATTGATACACATTTACTAGCAATTATAATGGTTTATTCATGTATGTTTTTGCCAGTTGTAGGCCGTTGGGAAAGAAGATTGATGCAGGAACAGAAACCAGCTTCACTCAGACCAAGCAGTTTTATAAATCCATATGTGGATTGAATGATGTGGTGTTAGATATTGTTTGGCTGACATGTTGGCAATTAACCTTTTTCCATTTTGACACTGCTATGCATTGGTGATGCCCTATTCTGCTCCAATTTACACCTGAATTTGTTGGTCGAGCACACATAGCGTACACAGGCCAAATTGTGACAAACCTTTGAGTACTGCTTCTCTATTGTCCTTCTGCATAATTACTTTGGTGACCTTTGGTGAACTCTTAGGGAATGGGATTTTGAATGGGATTCTCAGATTACAAAAAAATGGTCCAATCCTGCCGCATACATGATTCCCAATTTAAGATTGAATAAGAAAATGAGTACAGTTACAAATCCATGTGACACACACACATCAATTTTGCACTATAAAATGCAAATGGCAGGTGCGACTATAAAGGCACCTGCATACTAAGTTTGGTTTGCTCCTAGCAGAACTCGGCTAGGCGAAGTGAACGTCTGTGCCTCGCATTCTCCCTTAAGTCCTTCACTTGAAAAACGTGAAAAAAGCAGCAATATTACTATTTGTCCCTCTTGAGACGCCATAGCAACAAGTACACCTCCTCAAAATAGTCAGAATGAATCTAAGATAAGTCAAGAAATCTGTAATTCAGTGATAGGGTGAAGAATAACCGCAGGTGCTTTCTCCTGAGTTGGAATCTAACCTTAGAGGTTCAGAAGAAGCAGCATTGTTTAGAGGGATTTAGAGGGAATTAGCATACTAACCCAACTCAGGTTAGAGAAGGCCTATGCTGCGCTACATGGAGTCACAATAGCAGCCATTTGACCCCTACTGCGATGATAACAATGGAGTCATCAGCTCTCCAGGGGGAACGCAAGATATGTCTCATGATATTAGTTCAAAGTGCAGCACTCTTACTTGACGATTACAATTAAAGTTCAGTCTAATTTAATTACATGTGCTAGTTTCCTGGAGCATAAACAAACAACCTTCTTTTTTTTTCAAACATCATATTTTTTATTGTTTTGTGCAGACCTTTTTTGTGCGGATCACATGATCAACTGTAGAACATCTCTCCTCACTAGTTTAACTTTCCAAGTTTGTTATTCTTCATTCCTTGGTTGATGTTTTGTGCCCACAAACAGCAATGCTTATCATTTTGAACTGCTACATTTTACATGACATGATTTAAAAACTCCAGATGTTCGCCACAACAGAAAGCAACGTCTCTGTTTCACACACCACATTGGTGGCTCTGACCATTACTTTTTAGGTACATTAAATAGATACATACTCAGGGCAGAGTTGTAACTTCAATGTTAATGTGTAACTCACATTAGCACAAGGCTTTCTTCTCATGCCTCTTTTATTTGTTATTATCATAGAGCCACTAGCCACCTCAATTAGATCTAATGAGAATATAAGAGGAATAAAACGAGTTTGTTGTGTGATGTCTTTTGCCGGGTTGCCTGTCCATATAGCTCAGAGATTCATTTGGTTTGCTTTCTGAATCAGAGGTGCAGAGGAAGAATCACCTAATGGAAATGTAGGTCTTTGTGATTTAAAACTTTGTCAATGATTAAATGTAAAGAAAAGTACACTGTCACGCTGAGGAATTCATCAATGAAATCCTTTCAGCGAGAATACATGTCCATCAAAAAGGTTTTGGTGGGGTTTGGTGTGGTTTTTGTGTGAGGTTCTGTCCGCAAAATGACAAAATCTTACCAAAGATATTGGAATATTGCAGCTCGCAAGTGCATCATTAAACATTATCCCATACTGACTATTGGGATCTGCATAGTTTCTGCATAGTATTGCCGTCATCTCATGGACAACGTAAAAAAAGGTTTTGAGATCCATTTTACTGGAAACTACAGTATTTTGAGTGATCTTTTTGCACATGCCAGTGCTGTTGAGTATGTTGTTTTGAGGGCAGATGAGGGCTTGTGCGTTTGAATGTCATTGATTCCCTGCTGTTGACATCGAATGCTTGTTCTGAAGACCCTTGTGGTAACACTGCATGGGCTGTATTCATGGCCATCTTTGTCAGGTTTAGTCATGAACACAGCCCATACAGAGCCACCTTAAAGGTCTAAAGCTTCAGGTTAGAACGGCTCCAAAAACAAACAAAGCTTACCATTCTTGACAGGTTCTGTTTCTGCTGTTCAGTCTGTGAACATATAAAAAATATAAACAAAGGTCTGCACTACATTGCTCTAAAAATGGAGGTCAGCCAGGGGAGAGTAATACATGTATTTCCTACTGTATGAATTCTAAACAATACAAATGCCTTACAGCTGTTCATTATTCCTTTCCCTTTTTTGTCTCTAGGGTTAGGAGGCCATGCTGACGACATTGCCAGAAGGAAAGAGGAGTTTGGACAGAACGTTATACCTCCAAAAAAGCCAAAAACATTTATTCAATTAGTGTGGGAAGCATTGCAAGATGTGACACTAATCATCCTAGAAGTGGCAGCCATCATTTCATTAGGCCTTTCTTTTTATAGACCTCCAGATGCCGAAAGAGAAAGTAAGTATCTCCTTTTATTTGAAATGGAATGTATTCTAATTGATTCATCACCAGATAATGAATATTCACAAAATCAAATACCAAATTATCAGATTGTTGCTACTTTGCACCTGTAAACTTCATGCATGCAGTCATACAGTTTACCACGTGTCTGGTTTGTGCACTTTCTGGTAATTGTTTATTGGACAGATACTTGGGAATTCATTGCAGGCCAAAACAATTAGCCTAGATCTAATTTCAGACGTTTTGCTGTGTCTTCCCGGGGATGGTCACAATGTTTTGTTTGAACTCAAGTCTCTGACTTTATTGGCACAAAGAGATATAATTTGGTACAAAGTGTGAGTATCCTGCCCATTGACTAATCATAAAGGGATTTACTCTGATACTCTTGATACACTTCAATCAATCCATAATCCCATTCCACAAAGGACTGTTCAGTGGCAGTAGTGGGTAGCCAGTGTACTTCCTGTGATCAAGACAATGGTACTTCCTGTCTTATAATCATTGTAGGTTACTTTTGTAGGCTACCTTCTGTGGGACTCACTGTAGCTGTCCCTTTGGGTAATCACTAGATGGCCATGCTACCAACGACAACATTGGCAATGTCGTCAGAATGAATGAGCTATTTGTCCTCAATTTAGGGTTAGGCCTAGACTTAAAAGCACAATTCTGGAGGGATTGCATTGTACTTCTGTTCTTTGTAGCATGTCCAGATAGTGACAACTGTCCCTCCTTTCAGATTGTGGAAAGGCAGCGGGAGGGGTGGAGGATGAGGGGGAGGCAGACGCAGGCTGGATTGAAGGTGCAGCCATCCTCCTGTCCGTTGTCTGTGTGGTCCTGGTTACAGCATTCAATGACTGGAGCAAAGAGAAGCAGTTCCGCGGGCTACAGAGCCGCATCGAACAGGAGCAGAAGTTTACAGTGGTCCGCGGAGGCCAAGTCATCCAAATCCACGTGGCTGAGATTGTAGTTGGCGACGTTGCACAAGTGAAATACGGTATGGTCCTGAAGGAAAAGTGACCTGTGTGTCCGTGCGAGCTTACAAATGTGTATGTGCCCTAAAACCAAAGAGCATCTTCAATCCTACTTTTGATATAACGTTCCTTACCCTTCTTTTTCCACTACTCTGTCTGAATCTGGGTTAAATGCGCTAACTCACCCAGCTGAACTGTCTGATGTTCATGTATAGTATGTACGTTTTTCCAGGTGACCTTCTTCCTGCTGATGGTGTGTTGATCCAGGGAAATGATTTGAAAATCGATGAAAGCTCTCTCACCGGTGAATCTGATCATGTCAAGAAGACGCTGGACAACGATCCAATGCTGCTGTCAGGTAATGATGATGAGCCTTCCTCTCTTCATATAATATGGCTGATGTCTAGATGCAGATCCAATTTGGATCAAGCTGGGCATCGCCCAGAGTCATCGCTTCGTTTGTTATTTCCACTATGAATTAAGGTGGTGGCAGTGGTGGAAAAAGTACCCAATTGTCATACTTGAATAAAAGTAAAGATACCTTAATAGAAAATGACTCAAGTAAAAGTGAAAGTCACCCAGTAAAATATTACTTGAGTAAAAGTTTTTGGTTTTAAATATGCTTAAGTATCAAAAGTAAATGTAATTGCTCAAATATACTTAAGTATCAAAGTAAAAGTATAAGTTATTTAAAATTCATTACAGTGGGGGAAAAAAGTATTTAGTCAGCCACCATTTGTGCAAGTTCTCCCACTTAAAAAGATGAGAGAGGCCTGTAATTTTCATCATAGGTACATGTCAACTATGACAGACAAAATGAGGGAAAAAAATCCAGAAAATCACATTGTAGGATTTTTTATGAATTTATTTGCAAATTATGGTGGAAAATAAGTATTTGGTCAATAACAAAAGTTTCTCAATACTTTGTTATATACCCTTTGTTGGCAATGACACAGGTCAAACGTTTTCTGTAAGGCTTCACAAGGTTTTCACACACTGTTGCTGGTATTTTGGCCCATTCCTCCATGCAGATCTCCTCTAGAGCAGTGATGTTTTGGGGCTGTCGCTGGGCAACACAGACTTTCAACTCCCTGCAAAGATTTTCTTTGGGGTTGAGATCTGGAGACTGGCTAGGCCACTCCAGGACCTTGAAATGCTTCTTACGAAGCCACTCCTTCGTTGCCCGGGTGGTGTGTTTGGGATCATTGTCATGCTGAAAGACCCAGCCACGTTTCATCTTCAATGCCCTTGGTGATGGGAGGTTTTCACTCAAAATCTCACGATACATGGCCCCATTCATTCTTTCCATTACACGGATCAGTCGTCCTGGTCCCTTTGCAGAAAAACAGCCCCAAAGCATGATGTTTCCACCCCCATGCTTCACAGTAGGTATGGTGTTCGTTGGATGCAACTCAGCATTCTTTGTCCTCCAAACACGACGAGTTGAGTTTTTACCAAAAAGTTCTATTTTGGTTTCATCTGACCATATTACATTCTCCCAATCCTCTTCTGGATCATCCAAATTCACTCTAGCAAACTTCAGACGGGCCTGGACATGTACTGGCTTAAGCAGGGGGACACGTCTGGCACTGCAGGATTAGAGTTCCTGGCGGCGTAGTGTGTTACTGATGGTAGGCTTTGTTACTTTGGTCCCAGCTCTCTGCAGGTCATTCACTAGGTCCCCCGTGTGGTTCTGGGATTTTTGCTCACCGTTCTTGTGATCATTTTGACCCCACGCGGTGAGATCTTGCGTGGAGCCCCAGATCGAGGGAGATTATCAGTGGTCTTGTATGTCTTCCATTTCCTAATAATTGCTCCCACAGTTGATTTCTTCAAACCAAGCTGCTTACCTATTGCAGATTCAATCTTCCCAGCCTGGTGCAGGTCTACAATTTTGTTTCTGGTGTCCTTTGACAGCTCTTTGGTCTTGGCCATAGTGGAGTTTGGAGTGTGACTGTTTGAGGTTGTGGACAGGTGTCTTTTATACTGATAACAAGTTCAAACAGGTGCCATTAATACAGGTAACGAGTGGAGGACAGAGGAGCCTCTTAAAGAAGAAGTTACAGGTCTGTGAGAGCCAGAAATCTTGCTTGTTTGTAGGTGACCAAATACTTATTTTCCACCATAATTTGCAAATACATTAATTAAAAATCCTACAATGTGATTTTCTGGATTTTTTTTCCTCAATTTGTCTGTCATAGTTGACGTGTACCTATGATGAAAATTACAGGCCTCTCTCATCTTTTTAAGTGGGAGAACTTGCACAATTGGTGGCTGACTAAATACCTTTTTTCCCCACTGTATATTAAGCAAACCAGACTGTACAATTTTCTTGTTTTTTAAATTACAGATAGCCTGGGGCACTCTCCAAAACTCAGACATAATTTACAAACAAAGCATTCGTGTTTAGTGAGTCCACCAGATCAGAGGCAATATGGATGACCATGGATGTTCTCTTGATAAGTGCGTGAATTGGAAAATGTTCCTGTCCTGCTAAGCATTCAAAATGTAATGAGTACTTTTGGGTGTCAGGGAAAATGTATGGAGTAAAGAGTATATTGTTTTCTTTAGGAATGTAGTGAAGTAAAAGTAAAAGTAAATAGTAAAGTACAGATACCCCCAAAAACTGCTTAAGTAGTACTTTAAGTATTTTTACTTAAGTACTTTACACCACTGGGTGGTGGAATCCTCCCTTTGCTTTTTCATTGTTGTTTTTCGTTTGTTGTTTAGCCTGGCATCTTATTACTGTCAATCAATCTTCATAAGAGCTCTTAGGAATCAACAGCTACTTGAAACAGCATGATCTTGCTATTCCTGCATATTTACTGTTAGGCCATACACATGTAATTAAATATTTAACGGATGCCCCTCTTCATCGTTCTCAAAAATAAATACAATTGTATTTTCCAACCCGTGTAGCTCAGTTGGTAGAGCATGGCGCTTGCAATGCCAGGGTTGTGGGTTTGATTCCCACGGGGGGGCCAGTATGAAAATGTATGCACTCACTAACTGTAAGTCGCTCTGGATAAGAGCGTCTGCTAAATGACTAAAATGTAAAATGTATTCACTTGCTCACCTCACAAAAATGAAATCCGTTAAACATTTAAATACATTTGTTTGGCCTTACTTGTAAAAGAAAGAAACATATTTTACTATCCCATTTTAGTTGGAGATATTCTATTTCTCAGGTTCCTGTTACCATGTCTCACTGACTGTCCATGTTTGTCATTTGTCAGGTACCCACGTCATGGAGGGTTCTGGGAAGATATTGATCACAGCAGTAGGTGTCAACTCCCAGACCGGCATCATTTTCACCCTGCTCGGAGCTGGCGAAGACGAAGATGACAATGAGGATGAAAAAGCAGAGAAGGAAAGGAAAAAGAGGGAAAAGGAGGAGAAGAAGAAAGAGAAAGAGAGGAAAAGCAAAGAGAAGAAAGAAAATAAGGCCAAAAAGGACAAACTGGACAAGAAAAGTATGTGGAACTGGATTCTACTGTTAAAATACTCTGTTACACAAAATGTGTCAAACTAACCTCATCTCTATTGTATTCATTGTTAAATATAGGCCTACTTGCTTTTGGTTGAGACTCACCATCATAGGAGTAAACATAGAATATAATTGTTTTGAAAAACCCTGTCCAACAATATGTGTTATGAGATATTCCATTATGCTATCATATACAGTTGAAGTCAGAAGTTTACATACACCTTAGCCAAATACATATCAACTCAGTTTTTCACAATTCCTGACATTTAATCCTAGTAAAAATTCCCTGTTTTAGGTCAGTTTGGATCACCACTTTATTTTAAGAATGTGAAATGTCAGAATAATAGTAGAGAGAATTATTTATTTAAGCTTTTATTTCTTTCATCACATTCCTAGTGGGTCAGAAGTTTACATACACTCAATTAGTATTTGGTAGCATTGCCTTTAAATTGTTTAACTTGGGTCAAACGTTTCGGGTAGCCTTCCACAAGCTTCCCACAATAAGTTGGGTGAATTTTGGCCCATTCTTCCTGACAGAGCTGGTGTAACTGAGTCAGGTTCGTGGGCCTCCTTGCTCGCACACGCTTTTTCAGTTCTGCCCACACATTTTCTATAGGATTGAGGTCAGGACTTTGTAATGGCCACTCCAATACCTTGACTTTGTTGTCCTTAAGCCATTTTGCCACAACTTTGGAAGTATGCTTGGGGTCATTGTCCATTTGGAAGACCCATTTGCGACCAAGCTTTAACTTCCTGACTGATGTCTTGAGATTTTGCTTCAATATATCCACATAATTTTCCTTCCTCATGATGCCATCTATTTTGTGAAGTGCACCAGTCCCTCCTGCAGCAAAGCACCCCCACAGCATGATGCTGCCACCCCCATGCTTCACGGTTGGGATGGTGTTCTTTGGCTTGCAAGCTTCCCCCCTTTTTCCTCCAAACACAACAATGGTCATTATGGCCAAACAGTTATATTTTTGTTTCATCAGACTAGAGGACATTTCTCCAAAAAGTACGATCTTTGTCCCCATGTGCAGTTGCAAACCGTAGTCTGGCTTTTTTATGGCGGTTTTGGAGCAGTGGCTTCTTCCTTGCTGAGCGGCCTTTCAGGTTATGTCGATATAGGACTTGTTTTACTGTGGATATAGACACTTTTGTACCTGTTTCCTCCAGCATCTTCACAAGGTCCTTTGCTGTTGTTCTGGGATTGATTTGCACTTCCCGCACCAAAGTACGTTCATCTCTAGGAGACAGAACGCGTCTCCTTCCTGAGTGGTATGATGGCTGCGTGGTCCCATGATGTTTATACTTGCGTACTATTGTTTGTACAGATGAACGTGGTACCTTCAGGCATTTGGAAATTGCTCCCAAGGATGAACCAGACTTGTGGATGTCTACAATTGTTTTTCTGAGGTCTTGGCTGATTTCTTTTGATTTTCCCATGATGTCAAGCAAAGAGGCACTGAGTTTGAAGGGAGGCCTTGAAATACATCCACAGGTACACCTCCATTTGACTCAAATGATGTCAATTAGCCTATCAGAAGCTTCTAAAGCCATGACATCATTTTCTGGAATTTTCCAAGCTATTTAAAGGCACAGTCAACTTAGTGTATGTAAACTTCTGACCCACTGGAATTGTGATACAGTGAATTATAAGTGAAATAATCTGTCTGTAAACAATTGTTGGAAAAATTACTTGTGTCATGCACAAAGTAGATGTCCTAACCGACTTGCCAAAACCATAGTTTGTTAACAAGAAATTTGTGGAGTGGTTGAAAAACAAGTTTTAATGACTCCAACCTAAGTGTATGTAAACTTCCGACTTCAACTGTAAGGCCTTCAGATGCTATTAAGCTACATTTTGCCAGTGGCATGACATAAAGCTATTTGCCCCCATGGAAGGTGTCAGACAAGGTTATTAAAATAAAATAGAATGTTATTTGTCACATGCTTTCATAAACAACAGGTGTAGACTAACAGTGAAATGCTTCCTTACGGGTCATTTTCCAACAATGCAGAGTTAAAGATAAAGATACAAAATACACAGTGAATAACGAATAACAATAACGAGTAAAAAATAACATGGTTATATACAGGGAGTAGAAAATAACATGGCTATATATAGGGAGTAGAAACAAGGAGTACAGGAAGGGACTAAGCACACACCCCTGGGGGGCCCCGTGTTCATGGTCAGCATGGCGGATGTGTTGTTGCCTATCCCCACCACCTGGGGGCGGCCCATCAGCAAGTCCAGGAGGTGTTCAGTCCCAGGGTCCTGAGTTTGGTGATGAGCTTGTAGGGGACTATGGTGGTGAATGCTGAGCTGTAGTCAATGAACAGCATTCTTACATTGTTATTCCTTTTGTCCAGGTGGGCGAGGGCAGTGTGGAGTGCAATAGAGATTGCGTCGTCTGTGGATCTGATGGGGCGGTATGCAATTAGGAGTGGGTACAGGGTGTCTGGGATGATGGTGTTGATGTGAGCCATGCCAGCCTTTCAAAGCATTTCATGGCTATTGATGTGAGTGCTAGTCATTTAGGCAGGTTACCTTGCCGTTCTTAGGCACGGGGACTATAGTGGTCTGCTTGAAACAAGTTGTTATTACACACCGAGTCAGGGATACGTTGAACATTTCAGTGAAGACACTTGTTAGCTGGTCAGCACATGTTCTGAGTACGCGTCCTGGTTTTCCGTCGGCGAATGTTAACCTGTTTAAAGGTTTTACATCGGCTACGGAGGAGTGTTGCTTGGTTCAGTGTTGCTTGCCTTGAAGCAAGCATAGAAGGCATTTAGCTCGTCTGGTAGGTTAGCATCGGTGGGCAACTCGCGGCTGGGTTTCCCTTTGTAATCTGGAATAGTTTGCAAGCCCTGCCACATTAGCTCTGTATTAACTGAAGGGGTCAAAGAATAATTCATGAAAGCAGTAAAATTAAGATGATGCTTTTGGGTCAACCATCTTGAATTATAAGATGTGTCTGCCAATGGTGTGAGAGAGACATGCACATTCAACATTTTCACTCAGATGCTGGGCCAATGATAAATACTACAAATAGAGGAAGTTCCCACATTACACCACAATACACAGACAGAGTATCTGTAGCTGAATCGTGGTGCAGGTTAATTACAGCATGTGAGAACGCTACAGAAGATGCTGTCTTAGACACAGTTGGTTAACATCTCAGTTGGTTAACTGGCTGCAGTTGGGTCAGTTGGACTATGGACGTTACCTCTCCTGCTACAGCAAGAATAAAAAACTTTACTGCCTGTGAATTAACCAACCTGGTGTATAGCTGCTAAGTGTGTTAGGGGAGTGTTTTGTTTACGTTTGTAGTCCGAGTATCATTGATCAGGGGATTCTCAGAGTGAGTGAGTACTGTATTAGGGAGTTAAGACAGAAATGCATGTCAGAGCATTCACACCTCTTAGTTTCCAATGCAATGTCTAAGGGCTAATCGTAATGGGAACATATTAAAACTAAAAGTGTGAGAAGCTCTTTGCTGATGTGTAAATGGCCAAATGATTAACTGCAGTCATTTATTTTTCCACAGATAAAAAAGATGAGAAAAACAAAAAAGGTACGTTTGTCAATGAGTACGTTTACATGCACAGTAATAATTTGATATTAAACTGATTATGGCAGTAGGCAGATTATGCAATAGTCATGCAAACACTTTACTCTGCTTATCTTAAATCGGCCAAAGTTCAAAATCGCAGTAAGTATACGCCGATTAAAACACCTGGTTTTCTGAGTTATCTTTCGAATTATTATGACATGTAAACAGCTTAATTGGCGTTCCAGCTGTGTATTTGATCTGAGCATGTGCTAGCACCAGCCGAGCGAGCCTCTCTCTTTAGTGCCAAGCTCTTTAGTGCTTGTAACGCCAAGGTAGTGGGTTCGATCCCCGGGACCACCCATACACAAAAAAAATTATGCACGCATGACTGTAAGTCGCTTTGGATAAAAGCGTCTGCTAAATGGCATATTATATTATATATATTATTATATTTATATATATTATATTTATATTATATTATAGTGCGAGTGAAGTGAGTTTGGAACAACTGAATGTATGCGTCTTAGAAGTAGTTTTCACATACAGACTTTATATGTACAAACTCAGAATCAAATGCATTTATCAGAGTGCGATCAGGTAACCTGATTTCAGATGTGTCCATGTAAACAGGTTTATTAGGGAAATCGTTATTTTTGCATGTAAAACGTTGTAATATAACTATTAATCTGACTATCCACAATAATCACATTATTGTGTGCATGTAACCATACTCATTGTGTTTTATATCTATATTGAGACTGCTAGTTTAGTTTGTGTGCACTCCATGACCATCTTGTGTTTATATTGGGTACTTACTAGTTTAGTTTGTGTGTGTTTACAGTATATAGAATCTGTATGGTCGGAGGGGTATACTGCAAAGCAAACTAGATCTACTCAGGGTTTTCTAAAGCTAGCCAGCTTCAGTTAGCTTCCCATTCCAGCTCAGGCTTCATCCATACTACGACGGTGTACATTGTTTGTCTGTCTGACACTAACTCTAGCAGGCTTGTACAGATGTAGGATCTTAATTTGAGTCTGTTTACTACAGCAGGAAAATAAACCTGCAGCAACAGGAAATGTAAATTATTATGTGGATTATAATTCATGGAAATGTTTCTATGGGTTGATCAGTTTTTCATTTGGGCAAATCAAGTCTGAAATTTCAAAGTGAAAATGAAAAAACTTCAGATGCCTTTTTAAACCTCTTACACTCCAAGTTTGCATTTCCTACTGTGCAGGAAAATTCTCAGCAACAAAAAATAGTGATCAAATTAAGATCCTACATCTGTAACTGCGCATGCATGTCGCACGTGGCTAGTCGAACAAAGTACTCGTCATTGATTCAATGCTGAAACATCAATCCATGGGCGGGTCAGTGCCATATTTTCATTTGTTCCCGATATCAAAATGAAAGAAAAGTTATCTTGCAAATTCAGCAGGCTATCTCTCATGTGAAATAGACGTTTAGAAGTACCATCTTTATTTTATTACTTATTGTTAATGCCATCTTGGGTGAGCTTTGGTGTGCTTATCAATTATTGAACTCCGAGTTGACCAAAGTTACAGCGCCTTCAGAAAGTATTCATACCACTTCACTTATTCCACAATTTGAAGTGTTACAGCCTGAATTCAAAATGTATTAAATATATTTTTTTGCTCACCCATCTACACACAATACCCCATAATGACAAAGTGAAAACATGTTTAGACATTTTTGCAAAATGTGGAAAAAGTCAAGGGGTGTGAATACTTTCTGAAGGTACTGTACCTCACTAACTCCTCAAACTACATTTGTAGTATATGGCTCAGGTTGTTGCCATAGAAATGTACCTTGCTTAAAGGTGAGCCACTTTCGTGGTATCGGTTATCCCAAGTTGAACTCAGAGTAGACCAAAGTTACCTCGCTAACACTTCAAACTAAATTCATAGTATAGGGCTCCGGTTTGTGCATGAGGCCATATGGTCATGTGTTCCTGTGGTCCGAGCAGCAGGTGCTCTTGACTCCGTTCATGGTGATTAGGACCAAAGAGATTACAGTTCTTAAGCTCAGCAGCTGCTTTTTCCCCCTGCCTTTCTTCCCTAACAACCTTGTGTACTGTTTTTGGATCAGCACACTTACATACACACGTACAGACACACATGCTCACTCACACATTTGCCTGGATAAACAATGTCCCTTTAATTCACATACAAATATTTTGAGTATTTAGGGTTCTAGTGCGTGTGTGTTTGTACTATTACAGAACGTGGGCATGTTTTGGGATGATGGTGGATGGATTGGCTTGTAGAGAATCTCAGCCAAGAAAGAGCAATAATCCCCAGACTAGGATTAAGGACTGTGAGCTAAACAACATAGTGTCATGCGGTGTATCACATAGAATAGCACCCCCTATCTGTTTCCATGCGGTATCAACAACCCGTGCCTTCTAACTATGAACCCTAACACCAATGTACAATTTTTTTCGACTACTTTTCCCATTTTACTATTTTTTAATTGAATGCATCTTTCAATTCTTATTAAAATGTCTCTATTTAAACGTAACGTCTTTGGACCCATCCTCTCCTCTCCCTCAGGTAAGTCTCAGGATGGTGCAGGTGTGGAGATGCAGCCCCTCAACAGTGACGATGGAGGAGAGGAGAAGAAGAAAGCTCACCCAAAGAAGGAGAAGTCGGTGCTCCAGGGGAAGTTGACCAAATTAGCAGTGCAGATCGGCAAAGCAGGTAAGACCATCACAAGGGAATTCGGAATTTTGAAAGTATGTTTGATTTCCGCAGCAGCTTGTCACAGTTTGTCATTATTGCAAATATTTTATTATTTCATTGTGTACACTACTATCCATTCCTCTGTCCAGGCCTGTTCATGTCAGGGTTGACTGTCATCATCCTGATAACTCTATTTATGGTGGACACCTTCTGGATCCAGGGCCTACCATGGATCGCGGACTGCACGCCCATCTACATTCAGTTCTGCGTCAAGTTCTTCATCATTGGTGTTACTGTGCTTGTGGTGGCCGTACCCGAAGGTCTCCCCCTGGCCGTCACCATCTCACTCGCATATTCTGTTAAAGTAGGTATCACTACTTTGTCACTACTATGTTACTATAGTATATATATATATATTACAGACAGGAGCAATTAAGAAAGGCATTGCCAGATCACAAATAATAGCCTCCTATCTTCCTCAGAAAATGATGAAAGACAACAATCTGGTGAGGCACCTGGATGCCTGTGAAACCATGGGCAACGCCACAGCCATCTGCTCTGACAAAACGGGGACATTGACCATGAACAGGATGACCGTGGTCCAGGCTTATCTGGGAGACAGGCACTACAGGAAGGTTCCTGAGTCTGACCTCATCCCAGGCAAAGTCTTGGACCTGCTCATTATGGGCATTGGAGTCAACTGTGCTTACACATCCAATATCATGGTAGGTGAACATACTTCACTTGAGACTCCGAGTTGAGGTTTTCAACTCTGCCAAACAGAACACAAAGAGATCTGTAATACAGCTCTTTTCATGGCAATCATTCATTGACATCTGAGCAAAAACGTTGAGTGCCAGGTCAGGGATTTCAAGCCAGGGCCAAATCCTCTTGAAATCTGAGTACTCAGACTTTCATTTAAATCATGCATTGATATAATGGGAAATATTTGCACAAAGTATCAGTTATTTTAGTTGATTTGAAGTTTGGAACTGACCTTAACGTGTAAATGGTTTGTCTCAGTCTCCTGAGAAGGAGGGTGGGCTGCCGCGCCAGTTGGGCAACAAGACCGAATGTGCCTTGCTGGGCTTTATCTTGGATCTGAGACGTGACTATATGACCATCCGCAACGAGATCCCAGAGGAGAAGCTCTTCAAGGTCTACACCTTCAACTCAGTCAGGAAGTCCATGAGCACAGTGCTGAAGAACGCAGACGGGAGCTACCGCATGTTCAGCAAAGGAGCCTCCGAGATCCTCCTGAAGAAGTAGGCTGGCACTTTCAGTTTCTTCCTTTCCTGCAAATTAACTAAATGAACTTCCCCAGTATTATTTGTCAGAAACCTGATATAGATTCCCTCTTTATCTCATCGCAGGTGTTGTAAGATCATGACAGCGAGTGGGGAGGCTAAGGTCTTCAAGCCCAGGGATAAAGACGATGTGGTGAAGAATGTGATCGAGCCCATGGCCTCCGAGGGCCTGAGAACCATATGCCTGGCCTACAGGGACTTCCCCCCGATCGACGGCGAGCCTAACTGGGAAAACGAAACTGACATCCTCACCGGCCTCACCTGTTTGTGTGTGGTGGGCATCGAGGACCCTGTTCGGCCAGAGGTAAAAGGGCAAGCGGGATATGCCCAATCAAAGTCCTTGTTGTAAAGGTCCAATTAATTCAAGGAGGTAGATGTTTGTGGTAGTATAACCCTCAACAATGTACTTGTATAATCCCCCTGAAGGGGAGAGCAGGTCTTTGTGAGTGTATCTTGGGGTGTTGGATTATAAGCAAAACTACATTTCCATAATCTGAAAAAGAAAATGGACAATAAAGTATTTTTCTTCCACCCTAGGTTCCTGACGCCATTAAGAGGTGTCAGCGCGCTGGCATCACGGTGCGCATGGTCACAGGGGACAACATCAACACTGCTCGCGCCATTGCCAGTAAGTGTGGCATAGTGCACCCCGGAGATGACTTCCTCTGTATAGACGGCAAAGAGTTCAACAAACGGATAAGAAACGAACTGGGAGAGGTAATAGTCCTCTATTTCTCTCACAAAATGAATCTGTTTCTGTAAAAAAAAAAAGGATGATAGAGTAACCCAAGAAACAATCTACTTCCAGATTGAGCAAGAACGCATTGATAAGATTTGGCCCAAACTCCGTGTGCTTGCAAGATCCTCACCCACTGACAAACATACTTTAGTAAAAGGTATGTTTGGGGGGTATTTTTTCATTTATCACTACAGATACATTTTTAGGTCTTACATATTATTATTATTATCTAAAGAGATGATGCTTGCCTCTGTTCACAGGTATAATGGATAGCACTGTACTAGAACCAAGACAAGTTGTTGCTGTAACAGGAGATGGTACTAATGACGGCCCTGCCTTGAAGAAAGCTGATGTTGGATTTGCCATGGTATGGTATTTCTATACTTCAAGATCTGGCACATGTTATATCCCATCAATATTTCATGAGTATATTGTCTTTCTGATTTGACCAGACTGGTACTTTTGGTGCTGTGACTAATGTGCTTTGACATGCTGTGCCCACAGGGCATTGCGGGCACGGACGTAGCCAAAGAGGCCTCAGACATCATCCTGACAGACGACAACTTCAGCAGCATCGTCAAGGCGGTGATGTGGGGGCGGAACGTCTACGATAGCATCTCTAAGTTTCTCCAGTTCCAGCTGACGGTCAACGTGGTGGCTGTCATCGTGGCCTTCACCGGAGCCTGCATCACACAGGTGAGACACTGTATTTCTGTCATGTCCATCCTTCCCATCTTGTCTTTCTGCTTGAAAAGGTGAGGCATAGGTCAACTAGGGAGCGGCTGACATTACTATAGGGAGTTTTTATTACCTGCTCTACAAGTTACAACTGTCTTTAAAAAGTGGGGAGCTATACATAACTCAAACTACATCTCCCCCCAGGACTCTCCTCTCAAAGCTGTCCAGATGCTGTGGGTGAACCTGATCATGGACACCTTTGCCTCTCTGGCCCTGGCCACTGAGCCTCCCACCGAGTCTCTGCTGCTGAGGAAACCATATGGCCGCAACAAGCCCCTCATCTCCCGAACCATGATGAAGAACATCCTGGGGCATGCTGTCTACCAGCTCACTGTCATCTTCACCCTGCTCTTCGCCGGTGAGTAGGGTTGCAAAGGCAGGATATATTACAGGAAACTTTCAAAGTTTACCAGTAAACGACCATAATTTTGGTAGATTTTAAGGATTTTATGTAATCACAAGACATCTAGTGGCCCTTTTGGGTAATTCAGATTAACACAGGTGTCTGGAATTATCTATGGCCCTATGTGTGGACTAATTTAAAATAAATTAAAACATTATCCTAAGAATAAATAGTGAATAACATTGGTGTTTAAAATGACTGTTTCAGCATGAAATAAATAAATACATGTTTTACACACTTTTATTTTACTATATCATTATGTATTTGTTGTAAATGTTTTGGCGGCAAACTGGTGGCAGTTGTGAAAAAAGTTGGAAGAATTGCTGAGTTAATTTCAAATAATAATGTTACTTATAATAAAGGTTACATGAAGAAAATCGGACCTCTGAAATGAAAATGGATGGCCCTCCCTTCAGCAAAATATAAACTCAGCAAAAAAAGAAACGTCCTCTCACTGTCAACTGCGTTTATTTTCAGCAAACTTAACATGTGTAAATATTTGTATGAACATAACAAGATTCAACAACTGAGACATAAACTGAACAAGTTCCACAGACATGTGACTAACATACATGGAATAATGTGTCCCTGAACAAAGGGGGGGGGGTCAAAATCAAAAGTAACAGTCAGTATCTGGTGTGGCCACCAGCTGCATTAAGTACTGCAGTGCATCTCCTCTTCATGGACTGCACCAGATTTGCCAATTCTTGCTGTGAGATGTTACCCCACTTTTCCACCAAGGCACCTGCAAATTCCCTGACATTTCTGGGGGGAATGGCCCTAGCCCTCACCCTCAGATCCAACAGGTCCCAGACGTGCTCAATGGGATTGAGATCCAGGCTCTTTGCTGGCCATGGCAGAACACTGACATTCCTGTCTTGCAGGAAATCACGCACAGAACGAGCAGTATGGCTAGTGGCATTGTCATGCTGGAGGGTCATGTCAAGATGAGCCTGCAGGAAGGGTACCACATGAGGGAGGAGATCCTGGTTCGAATCCAGGCTCTGTCGGAGCCGGCCGCGACCGGGAGACCCATGGGGTGGCGTACAATTGGCCAAGCGTCGTCCAGGGTAGGGGAGGGAATGGCCGGCAGGGATGTAGCTCAGTTGGTAGAGCGTGGCGTTTGCAACGCCAGGGTTGTGGGTTCGATTCCCACGGGGGGCCAGTATGAAAAAAATAGTAGAAAGTCAGTAGAAAGGCCTCTTTAGTGTCCAAAGTTTTCATAACTGTGACCTTAATTGCCTACCGTCTGTAAACTGTTAGTGTATTAACGACCGTTCCACAGGTCCATGTTCATTAATTGTTTATGGTTCATTGAACAAGCATGGGAAACTGTGTTTAAACCCTTTACAATGAAGATCTGTGAAGTTATTTGGATTTTTACGAATTATCTTTGAAAGACAGGGTCCTGAAAAGGGGACGTTTAGTTTTTTGCTGAGTGTATTTGACCTAAACCCTCTTGGGGAAAAAAAACAAGTGACCCTCCCCTATACCCAAAATAATAATTAAAACAAAGTGAATAGCAGAGAACATGTCTACTGTTTACCCTCACTTCTTGGACAGACCAGAGCCTTAGATATGCAGTTTTAGAAACTGTTCTTCATCCTGTAAGCATTTATTCGCAATGCATTCCTAGCGCACAGGGCTGCGGGCCAGAAGGTTGTGGGTTCGCAGACCACCGTGGACAAGAGTAGGGGTGGAAAAATTGTCTTTATAGTAAAAGCATTGCATGAATCTAGCATTGTATTTACATGTCCGAGAAAAAAATAGCCTTTTCTAAACATTTCATGCAATTCTATGTCATTTTACATATTAGCAGAATCATTTTTAATATCACAGAAATTACTGAAATTACAGGCTAAGAATAGACAGAGAGATAGGCCTATGTGTTCATCTTATCATATTTCTCCAATGCCAAATCAGTGTGTCTTGTTTGCAACGAAACTGTCCCATTTAGGCCTACCTTTCCACCCCAGACAGAGTAGGCCTACCGACACAGAAAATGTTAAGCTTTAACTGCTGGCTACTCTTCTTCTGTGGCTCAACCCAACGAGAGAAGGTCACAAGTGTTTCCCTAAAATCTGTCTGGGTTTAAACATCTTATATTGTACAAAAAGTGAATAGCTTTACCAATTGATAGTGACAGAATTAGATTACTTCCCAAGCAAAGTATATTTTATATTATATTATTTGCGAGAACAAAAAAAACATATGGGGGATTGGAAGTGATGTAGACAATTACATTGATGGAAGTTACAATCTATCTGCAATATTAAAGCTGATCTACCCCCCCCAAAAAATATATATATATATAAAAGAAAAAAAGTATATTTTTTGTCTCTTCTGCTATAAACGGTTGTAGCTCAGCCTCTGAATGTCAAAGAAACAATGATATTCACATATGCATTGGAGTCAAGTCTTTCCCGGGTATTTTACAGCTTGTTTCTAGCATAAAGCATAGTGGACCAAAGCACTGTTATAGATCACTTTACAGTGGGGAAAAAAAGTATTCAGTCAGCCACCAATTGTGCAAGTTATCCCACTTAAAAAGATAAGAGAGGCCTGTAATTTTCATCATAGGTACACGTCAACTATGACAGACAAAATGAGAAAAAAAAATCCAGAAAATCACATTGTAGGATTTTTTATGAATTTATTTGCAAATTATGGTGGAAAATAAGTATTTGGTCAATAACAAAAGTTTCTCAATACTTTGTTATATACCCTTTGTTGGCAATGACACAGGTCAAACGTTTTCTGTGAGTCTTCACAAGGTTTTCACACACTGTTGCTGGTATTTTGGCCCATTCCTCCATGCAGATCTCCTCTAGAGCAGTGATGTTTTGGGGCTGTCGCTGGGCAATACGGACTTTCAACTCCCTCCAAAGATTTTCTATGGGGTTGAGATCTGGAGACTGGCTAGGCCACTCCAGGACCTTGAAATGCTTCTTAGGAAGCCACTCCTTCGTTGCCCGGGCGGTGTGTTTGGGATCATTGTCATGCTGAAAGACCCAGCCACGTTTCATCTTCAATGCCCTTGCTGATGGAAGGAGGTTTTCACTCAAAATCTCACGATACATGGCCCCATTCATTCTTTCCTTTAAACGGATCAGTCGTCCTGGTCCCTTTGCAGAAAAACTGCCCCAAAGCATGATGTTTCCACCCCCATGCTTCACAGTAGGTATGGTGTTCTTTGCATGCAACTCAGCATTCTTTGTCCTCCAAACACGACGAGTTGAGTTTTTACCAAAAAGTTCTATTTTGGTTTCATCTGACCATATGACATTCTCCCAATCCTCTTCTGGATCCAAATGCACTCTAGCAAACTTCAGATGGGCCTGGACATGTACTGGCTTAAGCAGGGGGACACGTCTGGCACTGCAGGATTTGAGTCCCTGGCGGCGTAGTGTGTTAATGATGGTAGGCTTTGTTACTTTGGTCCCAGCTCTCTGCAGGTCATTCAGTAGGTCCCCCCGTGTGGTTCTGGGATTTTTGCTCACCGTTCTTGTGACCATTTTGACCCCACGGGGTGAGATCTTGCGTGGAGCCCCAGATCGAGGGAGATTATCAGTGGTCTTGTATGTCTTCCATTTCATAATAATTGCTCCCACAGTTGATTTCTTCAAACCAAGCTGCTTACCTATTGCAGATTCAGTCTTCCCAGCCTGGTGCAGGTCTACAATTTTGTTTCTGGTGTCCTTTGACAGCTCTTTGGTCTTGGCCATAGTGGAGTTTGGAGTGTGACTGTTTGAGGTTGTGGACAGGTGTCTTTTATACTGATAACAAGTTCAAACAGGTGCCATTAATACAGGTAACGAGTGGGGGATAGAGGAGCCTCTTAATGAAGAAGTTACAGGTCTGTGAGAGCCAGAAATCTTGCTTGTTTATAGGTGACCAAATACTTATTTTCCACCATAATTTGCAAATAAATTCATTAAACATCCTACAATGTGATTTTCTGGAGAAAAAAAATCTTCAATTTGTCTGTCATAGTTGACGTGTACCTATGATGAAAATGACAGGCCTCTCTCATCTTTTTAAGTGGGAGAACTTGCACAATTGGTGGCTGACTAAATACTTTTTTCCCCACTGTATATAATCAGAGCTCTTTTATTTTCTTCAAAATCTTAAGCTAACAAAGGGTAGGCCTGTGCTTTTTGCCATTTTCTTTAATAAAAGGTAGGCCATTGGCAAACCCTCTCATACCCCCTCAATTTGTGTCCTGGTTTTAACTTAACAGCCCTTCACTGACACGGAGGTAGGCTATTTAAAGAGTAGATGGTGGGTGGAGGAATTGGCTGACAAATCTATGGCTATAGCAGCCTATAGCCTAATTTCATCTGTCAAACAGGTAGGCCTACCTGTTATTTCTTAAACAGGAAGAAATAGGGTCCAACACAAAGCCCTCTTGTTGTTAGTAAAGTCTAATAAAATTGGTTGAAATGAATTATGCCTACTGGAATTTGCCTTCTTTCAGCACCATGATCTTTCCATTTTCGATTGATTGTGCCACGGCTGCTGCTTCAAGTTTCAGCACCACAATGTAAGTTACTCGAATCTGGCTTATTGTGAGGCAAGAAACATTTAGTTTTTAATAAAATCAATCATAGTAGTAGCAAGCTATCAAAGTTGACCTCCGGTCCTCCTTGTCATCTTCGTGCTCTCCTCCTCAAACTGAACAGAACATAGGCTATAGCAGGGCTCTCCAAGCCTTTTCCAGGAGAACTACCATCCTGTAGGTTTTCACTCCAACCGTAATCAAGCGCTCCTGATTCTAATAATTAGCTGGTTGATAAACTGAATTAGGTTAGTTACAGCTGGGGTTGGAGCGAAAACCTAAAGAAGTGTTGCTCTCCAAGAACAGGGTTAGAAAGCCCTGGGCTATAGGCTAGTGATAATGTATTTTTTGGACTAATAAATAAATCAAATATTCAGAAGAAGCCTTTGACTCTCCTCATGAACTGCCACTTTAGGCCTACACAGCACAGCCATTGGTTAGGCAGCACACAAAAACGTTTTTGATCAGCAAGAGCAGAGCAGGCTGGGGCTCAGGGTTGTAACATCCATTACAGTGTGTAATGCAGCCTATTGATATTGCGCACCCAGCGGAGAATCAGAGATAAGGGGCAGCATCGGGACACAGCGATAAACAACTAAAACACTGAGAAATATCTACATTTCATTTATTACAAATTACATGACCCTACCCTGGACTAGATAAAAACAAATACTAAATCCTCCCCTTGATTGAAATTCAAAAAGCATGACCCGCCCCCATTTTCCTCCAAGTAACCTTCCTGTAAATTTCGATCCATCCCTTAGATATAAAAAATTTACACTATATATTAATCAAAAAATGTAAAAAGTTATTCAAGTATAAATTACCATAGATTTCCATAGATTGCCAAAGATTCCAGTAACTTAGGTAAATTACCAGTAGCTTTGCAACCCTACCGGTGAGTACCGCCTGAGTTCAAATGAGTCGTGCCAATTGAAAATTGACATGAAATTCATGGTTTTGTATTATTCTTGAATCTAACTTTGTTCTTGATGAAGTTATGAAAGCAAATGTATTGATGTAATGTATGACGTGAGCCGTATTGCTTGTCTCCAGTGGGCCTTGTTATAATGTACCTATGTTGCCACCACAGGGGAGCAGATTTTCGACATTGACAGTGGGAGGTATGCGCCGCTCCATGCCCCTCCCTCGGAACATTACACCATTGTTTTCAACACCTTCGTCATGATGCAGCTCTTCAACGAAATCAACGCCCGCAAGATCCACGGCGAGCGTAATGTCTTTGATGGCATCTTCAAAAACATGATATTCTGCTCCATTGTGTTCGGAACGTTCGTCATCCAGGTGAGCAGCCTTCAGATCCATACAGGATATTCACACAGGAGAGTTCATATCGTATAGAAAGTAACATTGCTCTCCAATCACCCTGTGTTTTGTTGTCCAGATTGTGATCGTTCAGTTTGGAGGGAAACCTTTCAGCTGTGTGGGCCTCAGCATCGACCAGTGGCTCTGGTGCGTGTTCTTGGGCTTTGGATGTCTTCTATGGGGCCAGGTGAGATTCTCACAGGTTTCTAATGTGTTTCAAAGTCCCTATGATCTACTTGGCTGTTATGAAGTTGTCACAAATGTTTTGTCACAAATGAGTTCAACATTTGAGTTCCTGTCTGTTCATTTCTAGGTGGTCACCACTGTCCCCACCAGCCGGCTGAAGTTCCTGAAGTCTGCAGGTCATGGCACGCAGCAGGAGGAGATCCCTGAGGAGGAGCTGGAGGAGATGGAGGACCTGGATGAAATCGACCACGGTGAGATGGAGATGAGAAGGGGGCAGGTGCTCTGGTGCAGAGGCCTAGGCAGGATCCAGACTCAGGTTTGTATGGTCAACTCATAATTACATCTCAGCTCACAATCATTCCTCAGCTTTACACCAAACCAAGGATACAAACTCAGGATTGTGCTTTAACTTTTGATGGGGACTCAATACTAAAATTCTGACTGTGTCTTCATCCCCAAACCATCCAGATCCGCGTAGTGAATGCCTTCCAAGACACTATGTCCCCCTACGAGGGCCTGGAGACCCCTGAGTCCCGCAACTCGATCCACAACTTCATGAACACCCCGGAGTTCCGGATAGAAGACTCACAGCCGCAGATCCCGCTCATCGACGACACAGAGGGGGAGGACGATGCTCCCACCAAGCGCAATACTGTGCAGACCCTGCCCCCACCCTCCACGCTGGCCACCCTTCCGTCCACGCCCAACCAGAACAATAATGCTGTGAACAGGATCATCCCCTTCCACAAGGAGAGCCCAAAGACTGGCGGGATCCCCCAGAGTGCTGCGCTACCGCAGTGCCCTGGGAGCCCGCTGAACAGCCTGGAGACCTCCCTCTGAGCTGGGCCCTAGTACCAGTAATGTAACCTCAGCCCACTTAACAATACCAAGATGTGGGGAGAGAGGGCTTCTGGAAGCCTCATGGCTTCTGTTTTTACTTATTATATGTTTGGTTCCTAAACATTTTTAGGGTCTTGTATTGAGGAGAGGTGCACATTTTGCATGAAAGAATTATAGACAGTGTTTTTGCTGTACATCAGCAATACTTCTAAAGAATTAATGCATTGGCTATTTATATTTTTATGATTTCATTCATGTTGTGAAAGCAACCCTGTTTACACGTTTGTGAAACTTTGATTGTCCGTGAAAAACCTACCTTATAACATGTACAAAGTGGGGCTGTATACTGTGAAATGAAAAAAAAATAAAACTGTATTTGAGATATTGCTAACTTTTAGAAGAAAAGTAAGGTTTCTATTGAAACTGAACTAATTTGCCTGCAGGTTCTATTTGGTATGTTTTTTTCTAGGTACATATAAATATCTATCGAAATAAGAAGACTTGTGTAGAAACTTGCATAAGAAAGAGGGTTTAATGTCTATAAGAAGACATACATGCATAAACTATGAGCATAATTACTGTCTTACCTCAATTGTGGTCCTCTGTAGCTCAGCTGGTAGAGCACGGCGCTTGTAACGCCAAGGTAGTGGGTTCGATCCCCGGGACCACCCATACACAAAAATGTATGCACGCATGACTGTAAGTCGCTTTGGATAAAAGCGTCTGCTAAATGGCATATTATTATTATTATTATTAATTAGCCAAGAAATCTCTAGTTTGAAAGCCATTGTTTTCTTGAAGCTTTGCAGTGCATTTTTCCCTACATTGCCCCCCACGTGGGTCAGCCCCCTAGCAATTCTAGCTATTGAGCTTTAGCTCTTCGCATTTGAGTGACAGCTAGTAAGAGGCCTGTCCAGTGTTATCCAATGAAGTTGCACGGCGGGCCTAATGGCTCAGTGGACACAGCAGAGAGAGAGAGAGAGAGAGAGAGAGAGAGAGCGCAATGACATGGTGCACATTTCTGGACCATGTAAGCAATCTTCTGGGACCACTTTTGGCTTGTGAGTGCTACTTTCAGAACTACTGGCTAAAGAGTATACAAAAGTACCGGAGAATCTCTGTAACTTTGTTCCCAAATCATTCCAAAACTACATTTCATGATAACTGGAAAGTGGTGGAGCTCCTATTTGTGTCCCTAGTGCTTTCAATCTAGACCACTGATCATAGGCACTGACCACTGATCCATTGAAAGGCTCATTATGAATCAGGGATAAGATACATACATTACAGAAAAAGAGAGGAGAAACCAGTTACTGTTTCAGATTTTTCTGTGGAGAAAATTGTGTAAAGCCAGTAGATTGTTGGTTTTAAGTCATTTTTAGGATTTAGAAATCCAGAGAACGTTGTCTGATAAAACATAACCTAATTCAAATAATGCTTTTGAAGAACTGGGTGGTATTTCACAAAATAGGATAGCTAACTGAAATAACTTGATTAATTGATACTCATTTCATTTTGATCTCTCTCGTGACCTGGGAGAATTTTATATTTTATAGCTGACTAACATATTGATACTGCTTTGTGAAATACCCTCCAGGAAACAGAAAATACTCAAGACACAGGAGACTTTGGACTCTCAGCACAGAGTACTTTATTGCACTAAACCTCCTTTAGGGAGACTTACATTTTGTAAAATATAGCCTAGCTTTGTGTCTTCTTAGAGAGAACTAAGTAGCTTTCATCCGTCACAAAAGTCAAGGTATCATCAGCTGGGAAAGGATTCAAAACATTTTCCTACAGTCAAAATACCCTCACACTGTCATTGGAAATAGCCTACATGTTTACCAAGTGTATTGCTTTTGTTTGACAGGATCGTAGGGTCCTGTGTCATTGGGTGCTATTAAAAAAAAACACAAAAACCTAAAAACCTGGAATGCTAGAACATAAAAAGTGGTCCTGGGCTGTGGAGAACTGTATTTCAAAAAATGTTTTGTTACATTACAGTCTACAATTGTTCACATTACAGGACCAATGTTATTTTTCTGGAATACAGTTCAGGGTCTCAGTTAATTTGACGACATATTTATTTTGGATTTCTTCACTGTGTTGCAATTACAAACTGCATCTAAAGATAGGCATAAATCCAAAGAAAGTACTTTAGGTGTTTAAAATGGGAGAATGATTCCATAGGTCACTTTTGTGTTTCTCTATAGTTTCATTCCACAATTGGGAATTAATGTTTATTTATCTCTTTATGGATTATACATTTTTATATATCAATATTTGGTAATAAAGTACTTAATGTCTGTTTATTTTGAGCAGTGTAAATGGTTTTTGTGGTCAATATTCATTTTTGAAACTTGAGTAATGTGTATGGTTTTTGAAAATAAAAGATTAATATTTAGCTTACCTAAAAATGGTTTTGAATCTGTCCTCTATTTTTATATATATTTTCTCAACAGTCAGTCATTGTTGCAACATACGCAATTAATTGAAAAATGCTATTGAATTTGGCCATCAGTGCCCTAAGAAATGTAGGTGCAGCAAGACATGTCTCTGAAAAAAGCCACACTATATGTAGACCTATTGGTATGCCAGCATTACAATAGCCTATTTTTGAAATACCCATGTTCATACCTGAGTAAAAGTCCCCAAAATAGTTTTTTTTTTATGTAGCCTAAATAAAAGTGAATTCTGAAAATCCAAATCCCTTATAATACAATGCAATCTTTATTGGTCCATATAGACATACATTGTTTTTGGTGTCACAGTACCACACGACAGGCTGGAGCAGCACGGTCAGAGCAGCGCCCCTGGAGCATCTTAAGTGTTAAGTGCCTTTCTCATTGGCAAATCGACAGTTACTGGCACAGGAGGTTGGTGACACCTTAATTGGGGAGGACGGGATTGTGGTAATGGCTGGAGCGGAATTGGTGGAATGGTATCAAATACAGTGCATTTTGTTACGTTACACTCTTATTCTAAAAAGGACAAAATTGTCTTGTTTCCTCATCAATCCACACACAATACCCCATAATGGGCCAAAAAAAATTGAAATGTTAGTAGAAATAAAAAAATGGAAATATCACATTTACATAAGTATTCAGACCCTTTACTCAGTACTTTGTTGAAGCACTTTTGGCAGTGATTAGAGCCTCTAGTCTTCTTGGGTATGACGTTACAAGCTTGGCACACCTGTATTTGGGGAGTTTCTCCAATTCTTCTCTCCCGATTGCTCAGTTTGGCCAGCTCTAGGAAGAGTATTGGTGGTTCCAAACTTCTTCCATTTAAGAATGATGGAAGCCACTGTGTTCTTGGGGACCTTCAATGATGCAGAAATTTTTTGGTACCCTTCCCCAGATCTGTGCCTCTACACAATCCTGTCTCGGAGCTCTACGGACAATTCCTTCGACCTCATGGCTTGGTTTTTGCTCTGACATGTAATGTCAACTGTGGGACCTTATATAGACAGGTGTGTGCCTTTCCAAATCATGTCCAATCAATTGAATTTACCACAGGTGGACTCCAAGTTGTAGAAACATCTCAAGGATGATCAATGGAAACAGGATGCACCTGAGCTCAATTTCGAGTCTCATAGCAAAGGGTCAGAATACTTATGTAAATAAGGTATTTCTGTTTTTATTTTTAATACATTTGCAAAAATGTCTAAAAATCTGTTTTCGCTTTGTCGCTATGGGGTATTGTGTGTATATTGCTGAGGATTTTTATTTATTTAATCCATTTTAGAATTAAGGCTGTAACGTAAGAAAATGTGGAAAAGTCAAGGGGTCTGAATACTATCCGAAGGCACTGTAGGTTCTAATATGTCTTTTTTTCTGGATTGGCTTCCCCTGTGATTTTACGCATCGCTACTGCTGAAATGACAGCAAACTATGTGCATTTTCGTTTGTTTTACCTTCGTTGTTATTGTCAATTCTTTGGATATACACATTATTATAATGATCCTGATAAATTAATTTGCCTGGATCAGAGAAGCTGTCTGTCTCGTCACATTCATATACATGGCACGGTGGAGATGACAAACAAAACAACTGCACCATGTTGCATATGTCTGATTGGCACACAGTGAGGCTTATATTAACCCCTGCTGTACCAAACCAACTGCTTTAGCAAGGCTTGTAGCATGGGGAAGTAATTTTCCAGGGGAGATTAAGTTTACAAATTGACTGGCTGGGCTGTGGGACAGTGGCTGCACATTGATACATCTACCTGAACTGTTAACAGGCATTACCCATGGAATATGGGGATTGTGGTGCTAAAACTCCCTGCTATCAACCAATCAGTATCAAGGATCCAAACAACTCATTTTATAACTGTTCTTTTAAATTAAGATGAATGTTTGCCTATGTTATATCTAATTTAATATGTTTTCTCATTCCATAAGGTTGAGGAGTGCCCAGAGTGTCAACTCTACGATAACATGAAAACGTGGTCCCTTGTGATGCATCCTATCGAAGTTAGACAGGCATGGTCTGTCCTGGGCGTTGATCTCATAGGCTCTTTTGAGAAGAGAACCATGGCTGGTAACCAGTATGCCCTAACCATGACTGACCTCTTCAGCAAATGGGTGATTGCTGAACCCTTGGAGGGCAAATCGGGAACAGAGATCGCTTCAATAGTCACAAACAAACTTCTTGATTTTGGACTTGTGGACAACATCATCACTGACCGGGGAGGTGAGTTTGCAAACGATGTACACTATATATACAAAAGTATGTGAACACCCCTTCAAATTAGTTGATTCGGCTATTTCAGCCACACCGTTGCTGACAGGTGTATAAAATTGAGCACACAGCCGTACAACTCCCATAGACAAACAGTAGAATGGCCTTACTGAAGAGCTCAGCGACTTTCAATGTGGCACCGTCAAGTCAGTTCATCAAATTTCTGCCCTGCTAGAGCTGCCAACTTTAAGTGCTGTTATTGTGAAGCGGAAATGTCTATGAGTAAAAATGGCTCAGCCGCGAAGTGGTAGGCCA